TCATAACGTGTCATAAGGTACTTTCTCTTTAATATCTGTAGAAAAATGGATATTGGTTTTCAGTTTGTATTTCAATTCTGAAGTCTCTCTTGGATCTGAAGAAGAGTTTCTGTGTCCAAAATATGGTCTCTTTGGTCAACTGTACCAACTGGTTCATTAGGAATTAGATTGTTCTATCAATATTTCTTTTTTTTGGCAGCAGCATTACCCTTTTTCAGAGAGGGAATCCATTAGGGTAATTCAGCTGTGTATGTACTTTGGAGACATCTGCCAGAGGATCCTAAGGGTGCCCATTTCTCTTGAAATTACTATGACGCCAACTTTAAACAATCAGCTTATTAAGCAGGTTTTTAAATTACAGATATTTATGTTGGGTTAGATTAATCAAATCCTGATCTTTTAATTAATGAGATTTGGTTAATAATGTGATAATTATCACCTACAGAACACTGGCAGAGACCAAAGGAACCTATGCTTAGGACACCAGTAAAAGTTAAGAATAGTTGTACTGTGCTGAAATGGCAGTACAGTCATGCTTGCACATACACAATGTTCTTTAGCTGATAGTGATTCCATCTGACCAATGAAGCACTAATGAACTCTGAAGAAAAAAGTTTCAAGGTATCTGGAAAATGTGTGAGGCAAATCAACTGGAAACAAAATTTAGGAGAAATATTTTAGTATCACTATAATTTTATTTTTATCTCAAGGTAACTCTTGCAAAAGGCTGTTTATATTATTTGCAATACTTTCCAAAAAGGAAATCCGAACAAAATAATCTGTTAGAATTTTAACAAAAGTTGAAAATACATGTGTAGTGGGGTTTATTTGTTAGGTAGTTTTGTTTCTTGAGTGGTTTTCACACAATCCCTCTTGTTTTGGTAAATGCTTTCTCTAATGAAGATAAATACAGAATCCTGACACAAACTTCAACCCATTTTTTGATTTTACATGTATGCAATTCAGAACATACTAAGGATTAAGCAGATACAATAGGTATAAAAATGTCACTTCACCTTAAGGAAACTATTTACTTTTCATTTGTTGGTATCTGAAAATAGCCAAGTCTTGAGTACATGATGAATGTATTTACATTATTCAGAACAAAATAATTGAGTATTTGATGTCAAGTTCTGTTAGTTAAAATAATTTTCAACATAATTTTCTACACCAGTCTTGTCTACATTTTTTTCTGTTTGATTTCCGTTTTTGGTGTTAATCAAGTACAGTAAATTTGAATATTTAAATTTTAAATACTACTCCAGCTACCTGTGGAGCATATGGGTCTTTGCAATGTGAAATACTGGAGAGTTTCCATGTTTGGTTTATCTAATTACAGAGAAAATACAGCTACTTCCTTTTTCTTAAAAATGTATAACTTTAGAAGGACATGAGGGAAGGGGAAGTTAGGCTTTATATGGGGGCAGGAGAAGGTTAGGAAACTTCATGTGAAGTACCAGTAGTAAGCCATGGCATTAAGAAATTTAAAATATCTAAGCACACTTTTATTCTGCAGTGTGCCAGAGTTTCCAGCATCCTCCATTTCCTCTTCTTAGCACTGTGCCACATACAATATGGTGGAAGATGCTGTGACTAACAGAAATTAAGATGCACCTTATGTTGCTAGCCACAAATTCTCCATTTTAACAGTGTGAACATAACCACAACGTCTTTTTGTGGTGACTTTTGGCGGGTAAAATACACTGGAGGCTCCTCTGTTTGGGGGAAGTAGCCCTTTAATCTGATTTACAGTGCTGAAATTGGAATAGAATTGAGGTCATTTTATCTTCATTGAATAAACAGTGTTGCTTTATGTTCTTAAACACTAGACATTCACTCAATGTCAATAACAAAAATAGTGTAAAAAGTTGCTTTATACTTTGTCAAAGCTTATGATTTTTAAAATTGTATCTATTAGGTTCTGCATATGAACCAGCTATAGAGGAAGTTCTTTGGAAATACTTGACATTAAGACAAGAGTATGACACTGAGCCAGACTGAATCACGAGACCTTTTTTAACTACAAATGTCTCCATTCTGGGTTTATTGGAAATATAGAAATAGCTATCTTGTCCTCACTAGTTGAAACTTATTGAAAATTGGTAATAACTGACTACAGCATTTTAAAGTTTCTTATACTTCCATATAATAGGTCTTCATTTTAGCATGTCCATAAACTTTTAGCCTTATAAAGCCTTTTCTTCTAGTTAAATGCTCTGGAATGACTGCAACTACCTAAAAGGAGATTGTGATGAGGTGAGGGTCAATATCTTTTTCCAAGTAAGATAAACAGAAATATCCTTTAAGTTGTGCCAGGGAAGGTTTAGATTGAATATTAGGAAAAATTATTCACCAAAAGGTTCATCCAGCACTGCCCTGGCTGCCCAGTGCAGAAAGGGGTTGAGTCACCATCTCTATAGGTGTTTAAAAGACATGTAGATGTGGCAGTTTAAATACATGGTGGACTTGGCAGTACTGGGTTAACAATTGGACTTGATAATCTTAAAGGTCTTTTCCAGCCTATATGATTCTATGCCCAGCCATCTCTGCTAAGAAAAATACAAGAATGCTTTTACTGATGCAGCTGCTAATTGGGGCTCTCAGTATGCCTTCCTTTCTAAGACAAACAAGTTCCAAAGTACTGACACCAAAGATAGGCTGCTATTGTCTCATTGCTCTATTTTCTGTCTTGATTTGATAAATAATGATTCTGTTTGTGGTTAGTATGTTCAGACACGTGCCAAGATTTGTCATTTATTCAGGAAGACGTAGATTTTCCTATCACCACTTGCTTTGTTTTGTTCTTGTGAACTTGTTCTTTTTGAACCTGTTCAAGGTTTTTGAAAACATTAGACCTTTTCAAAGGTGGTAAGAGAGAGCAGATATCAGTACCTAGGAGGGCCATTTGAATGAAGTGAAGGAATGTTAGTGTGATGTTGGACAATGTATTTTGAGTGGGACTTCTTTCTCTGCCTAGTTAACGCCTGTACAATCAGGTGTGCAGAATCCCTGGAATGAAAGAGGGGTCCTGGCTCCATAGCCTAATGATACTACGTATACCTACATCTAGCAAGGTGAAAGGAAGGGAGACAATCTGTATGTTGTGGTGCTACTTGTGCATTTTGCATTGAAGAAAACATCAGATTAAATGTGTATGTAATATTTTCAATCTGGTTCAGTAATTCTCACTCACCAAAAACTGCGTTCTCAGTTACTGTGCAGTCTAGGTTTTCTTGAGTGAGGGGTCTATCTACCTAACTCTCTCAGGATCAAGGGGTTTGCTTCTGGGGGACCTTCTTGCTAGGAAGACAGCTCAAGCAGTGCATACCAAAAAGAGGAGAATTGCAGAAGTGATACGAATTTTCTTCCTCGTGTTCTTTGGTGATTATAGCTATACCTTAGTTTCCAGTTGATGTGCACAGTTTTAGTCAGGAGTTTACAGTCATCTGGAACATTTTCACTAGAGCTGAGGAAAGGATCTCTGAGGTCAGGAAAAAGCTTCTGTTACAGTGCCCTGTCCAGTTAGGACCTTCCTTTGAATGCAGAAAATATTAATTAAAGGCAGCCTTCACTCTGATGTGATTATGGCCTTTATAGCATTTACCTCCTTTCCCATACCGCGACTGAAAGACTGAAGAGGTTAAGAGTAGTTTAAAACTGTTCTTTCTCATCTTAGAATGACAGCCTGTGCTTGTGCTGTCAAGCAACCAACAGCTTGGGCTGTACATCCAATCATGAGTCATAAAATGAAAGTAGAATAAAACAAAAATCATTGTTTCCAAAAGCAGAATGTGTTTTTGCTAAAAGTCTCACTACATCATTGGATATTTAACAATAACCTTATTAATAATCTGAAAAATATCCCCCCTCCTAAAGAATGTTTTTTCTTATACTGTCTCCCTTTTTCCAATCAGCAATGCATTTAGTATCTTTATACAAATGTCAGTGAGATACAACAAATAGCCCCAAATAAATAAATAAATAAATAGATACATTAGATGCAGAGCTTCTACATTGTTTTTAGCATAATTTCATTTCTGGGGTATGTTTACAGATTTGTTGAGGTTCAGTTCTTTTCCTGTTCATTTCACTCTGCTGTGACAGCATATTTCTTGTGGCATAACAGACAATAGAGAGTCACAAATGCTGAAATGTGGCATAAAGCAGAATGCAGATGGGACCGCTTTGGGCTCAAGTGCTGTGGTTTCACAATGGCATTCAAAATAATGGCTGAGTGATGACTGTAATTCCATTTATGGGGCTCATGATTTCTCTTTCTCCTGCGGAATCTGAAATTAAATCAAGCCCTAATGCAAGCATGAACACAGAGAATGTGTTTTTTCCTTATGGGTAGGAGAAGGGCCTTACAAAAACGGACTTTTTCAGATCACAGTTTTTAATGAATTGGTTTTCAAATGGTTTTTTTTCCCTCCTGTAAGGCAGGTGGGCTTCTTTTGGAATGAGTGTGTGCATAGTCTTAGATTTAACTTCAGTTCCACTGGTTTGCTTGTATTTTTACTAGAAGGAGAGTTTCAGGTGGTAGGGACAGAAGCCCTAAGGGGGTTAGGGGTTTTTTTGAAGGGGTTTGTAGAGTACTTCAGCATACTCAAGAGCTGTCTTAATCTTCTCAGGTCAGCATGCAGCATACCCTGACCAGGTCTTTTACTAGAAATTTGAATTTTATTTTAATTTTGACCAGTTTTAGAAAAGGTCACTTGGCCTGGGTTCAGATTCCAAAACAAACAAAAAGCCCCTTGCAGCTTTATGAGTCACAGGCAATGCACCACATAGATTTTAAAAAGCAGTTTGTAGTTGTAGGGAAGTAAAGAAATCCCCTGTTTGTTCTCTGATTCTTGACTGAGAACTGTGAGCAAATACAGTAAAAGTGCTTTAAAAACCAAAAGACCAACTGTTACCTGCATCCAAATTCAAAGTAAATGTGATGTACTTAGGTTTTTTGGTTTTCAGGGTTTTTTTAACATTTTTGGTTTTGATTTTAGATTTCTGGGATCTGCTACAATAGCAGTATCTTAAAAGTTCATCGAATTCTTTGTGTACCCAGATGGGTAGCAAAGATATTTTCATGGACTCTTGAACCAGTCTTCTCGTCTGCGGAACCAACGAATGAAGTTCGAGTGGGAATGGGAGCAACAGTTGACATCCAGAGGCAGCAGAGAATGGAGTTACTGGATCGTCAAATCATGATGTCTCAGGTTGCCCAAATGAGGCGGCAAAGACAGCAGCAGGTATTGCTAGACATTATTCAAGGACTATATAAGAAATAAAATTTTTTTGGTTTGTAGATCTTGCATTGCTCCTGCTTCTTGAAAGTAATGTGTTTTTAAATTTTTCTCCATCGATCTTTCATACACTGTTGTACTGCTGATAGCCATTTAAATGGTTTGTATAGCTTTATATGTTAAAACTGTTTCACAAGATGTGAGAAGGATGTCAGTCTTGTGGGGATGTCAGTACTCCTGGCATTCTGTTACAAAAAATGAGGCTGAAAGGTAAAGTGATTGCTTCTTGGTGGTCTTTAATGAAAGTCATTGTGTAAAGTTAGGAAGTCAAAATGCTCCTCACTCTTCTGCGTATCAGTCTGGTTAGCAGCCTTTTTAGAGAGGTTGAAAATTTTCTATGAAATTCCTTTGTTTGTGGGTGTATATGGTGTTTCTTAAGGGCAGAAATTAAATTCTGTAACTTACAGAGGTAAACCACAAGTGACTTTCTATTTGCCATGTTTAATCCTCTTGGTTTATTTCCTTACTGAACAGTGTAGCAAAGTGTTATTATTTTCTCTGTTTTATACAAACCAAAAAATCCAGGTATTCTGACAAGGCAGGTGGTGTCTCAGTTCCTGTGTCTTAGATGTGTTCACTGTCTTCAATGAGTTTTCTTTGCCTGAAACACATCTCTGTACTGCTACATGAGTTCTTCTTGTGTTGGGGGAAGTGTAGTGCAAACAGATATAGCTGTGTTACCCTTAATGCATTTCCAGAATTAGAGGTATGATGGCATAAAGCTTTGGCCTGCAACTGGAGTATGAATCTTTATTTCCAGTCCCTGATAACATAATTCTGTTTTTCTTGTTTCCTTAACATTTCAATATGATGAAATTATTCCTCAAGCAGAAACTTCTATTTTTCTCCATTCCTATTAAAACACTAATCAGTTTTAACATAAGAACTGAACTAGAAATTTCTCAATTCTTGAATGTTGCAGTTGTAATAGAAAATGAATTGAAACTGTAAGTTGTGCTACAAGCAGCTGTGAGGAGTGCAGCCGGGTTTCTTCAGACATGAGAATGAAGCAACTTCCAGTTAGGAAGGACAGTCTTTTTAATATCTCTGTAATTACAAAAAGTGGTAAATAAGTTCAGCATGGTAAATGATAAAAGAACTGTTGATAACATTTTCTTCTCATCTTGTCCTTTCCCTAGGCTGTGAACAATGAAAGTGGAAAAATGTCTTTTCATGTTTGACTTCAAATAGAATTCTTTAAAAAGGTGGAGGGGTTTGACTAAAATGCAGGAACACTGTTTGAACATCAGTAAGATGCTTCCCTTTACAAGTTGCTGAAACACTTTCAAGTTGCCTTCATGTTTAGCCTTTAACTTGAGCAGAGCATTTATTTAACCGGTAGTGCTAATCTGTGAAACCCGTGATCAGAAGGCCATAGGATCAATGTATGAATGTTCCATTGAGGCTCTTCAGAAAAGGTGTGTCATGAAAGCTTTTGACCCACCTGCTGTTTTTTAATGACTCACTCACAGAATTTACTGGTCATCAGCTAAATCGGAAAAAGTATCACTCACAAATGTTGCTGTGTAGTGGTAAAAATGAAAAACAGAGTATTTTCAATCTTAAAATAATATTTGAAAAGTTGAACACCATTTTCTGGATTGGTGTATTTGGGCAATTCTTTTGCCTTTAGAAATTTGGCAAGGTGTAATTTGAAGACAGTGGAGTGGAACAGATCATGCTGCAGATGAAAGGAATTTAGATGATAATTTTACCTGTGGGAATGAAGCTATAAAGAATGCAGATCAGTTTCTTAGATAGTTTTTTTGTGAAATTGAAAATAATAAAAGCTATGAAGTACATGTCAGATCAGGTTTTGAATTATATTCTGAGTAAATGTTGTGTGGATTTCAGAAGTCCCAATATGCTGTCTGTAGGTAGTGTGCCATAGGTGAGATAAATTAACATTTTCTCTCACTTTCTGCTTTGCTTGGTGAGGGAACGTCAACTTTCTTCTCTATGCCATAGTGCAACAATTTTGTTCAGCTGCCCCTTGAGAAGGTTCTCTGCTCATTACTCCCACTCCATTACTCTTCAGTTCATCTGTCTGAGAAATGAGACAATGCAGTTTCCCAGGATGTTGGTAGCATTATGGAAGGAGTGCTTCTAATGGAGCTTCTAATGGAGCTCCATTGTCTGGGCAATGTTGGCAGACTCTCATAAGGGAGTCCCCTCTCTTAAATAGATAGATTTTTTAGTAAGTTTATTCTTTTGAGTCTTCACAAAACATTCTGAAGAACATGAGCTTGACAGGTTATGCAAACCAACATAAAAAAATTTAAATTAAAAAACAAATTTTAAAAGGGGGGGAAGGGAAGAAATTGAGGGAAAAGCTTTTCTCAAAAGTTGTTTGTAGCATACCTCTATGATACTGAGATGTAAATAATTATTTTCTTTTTCCTTGCTGTTCACTAAGCCCTTTTATCCAAACAAGAATTCACTCTGGATGCTTTCTACAAAAAAGAAAAAGCAAGGAACAATCACCCCAGAATTTCTTTGCTGGCAATTCTTTGAGCTTTACTATTCCCAGTCTTTTTCTAGCTGAAATCTTCTAGTCTGGAGGAACCTGAAGCATGGAACTGTGTGTGAGTACTGGGTTGTCAAATACCCTTGACTTCAATGAGTTGCTTGAGCATGTGGTAGAATTTGAAAATAAAGCCAACAAGTTCATTATTCGATGTACCTCACTGTATGTCTTAAATATTCAGTGGGCATGGTGTCTGAATATGTTGCTAGAAACTGTTATGTTGATAGTTTCTCAAGGGAGTGTGGTTAAATGGTGACTGGTTTTGTGTTGGTTTCTAGTTGCTGTGGATATAGCCCTTAAACACATGGTAGTGTTCATTTAGAAAACTTTCTAGATCTTACTGTGTTCTTTATTTACTCCTCTGCATATTGCTGAGAAATTACAATCTTGTCCTAAATTAATTACTTAGCATCACCTACATTCACCTTTAAGTGCAGTAGAATAAAATGTGTGCTGTATGTATTTATTCCCTAAAAATAGCAGCTTGCCATTTTGTTGCTGCTTTTTAAACTTCGCTTTCGTAGTTATTTTCTTTCACACTCTTTTATCTATCCTATTTTGTAAACAGTTTGTCCTGTTTTTCTTTTTTTCCCATTATCTGATCTTCTGTTCCCCTTCATATCACTGTCACATTTTCATTCCCCACTTTGCCATTTTCCTCCCACATTTTTGTCACCTCTTCACCTTCATCTCTCTTGTTTCCCATACTTTGTATTTGCTCCTATATAAAATGCTTCTTCACTTTGGGGGAAGTCCTCTCCTGTCATGTCTGACCACCAGTAATCATTTGGTATTTTATCCTTTTGCTACTGTAATATTGATAAAAGTATGGTCTTCCTTTCCTGATGTTTATATTTCTAGATCTCTTTTATTTCTCAGCAATTTTGTAAAGTTTATCTTTCTGTAACTCAAATAAAACCCTGGTGGGAAAAGGGAAACAACTGCAGCATCTGTGCACCAGTGTGGGTATCAGGGTGTCGACTTTCACTTCCCATTGAGAATCGTGGAGGGAGGCTGGCAGAGAACCAAATTGTGAATAGATAGGGAAGATACTGTGCCTAGGTGGTATTGGCTGCTCTGATGTCACTACAGACTGTTATCTGGAAGATGGTGGAAGTTTGCATAAAGGGGGGAAGCACCATCTGTTGGCATTAAATACAATTCTTGGAGCACTCCTCGCTGTGCCCATTCAGGATGGGCAATGTATCAACCTCAGTCCCTTCATCTTGAAATAATGGGTTTTGTATCTGTAGAGCATTTTTGCTGAGCACGTTAAGGACATCATAATGGCTTTTTCTTGGATTCTCTTAAGTGTCTTGAATCAGGGAAGAGCTTCACCAGATTGCTTCAGACTGTAAAAAGCCTACAGTCATATATGAAAATCTGAATTTCACTCCCTCTCTTTCTACTCCGTTGGCCACTTCAAGCTTATGTTGTCTTTTCCCTCCTGTCTTTTTTTCCTTCTCTTCCAGCTGCCATTAATTTTCACTTAATCTCCCAAGATTCATACCACATGTATATCTCATACCATATGTATGATATCTTCATACCATATGTATATCTCATCTTCATCATATATGAGATTCTGCTGCTTGCAAAGTCCAGACTTCTATAACAAAGGGACATCCTCTAATTGTTCATTCATTAGATATCTTTCTCCTGGGACACAGGTGAGATGTTCTGTGGGTAGGCAAACTGAGTGTCTTTAGTATTATGGGGAGCCTCATATCCTGAGCAATTTGCAAGTTTCATACTTTGTCAACTAAGGACTGTGTGTCTAGATTGGTAATTTACCTTCTGGTTATATCTAAGCAATAAACTCTTGACCTTGGGGAAAATAGATTAATGGAACAGAGCTTTCCCTGGCTCAAGAATTCTTCCTCAGGAAAGTTATCCTCATTCATGATGGTAGAAAAGAAATCCCTGAGTGAATATACTCTTAGACAGTCCAATTCTGCTTTTTCAAAGTGAAGAGCTAGACCTGGGAATATTTTTTAGCTCTCCTACTGGTACTGAGGTGACACTTCAATGATGTTTTCTTGAATAATTTCACAAATTTAAGTACCAACAAGAAGTCCTTCAAACAGATATTTTGAACCATGAACACCATCTGCAACCTTTATACACTGCCAAGTCCACAGAACCCCTTGCTCTCACAGCCAGGACTTTGGATGGAAGCAGCTTTTCTGTTTTGTTCCACAAATTTATGTATCATTGTCAGGAAGGAAACTACCAGACTGCTTTACCTGAATAAATGGGTGAGACTTTCAGCCAAGTGTAGTTTTTTAATTTGATTTCCATTCCAATCAATCTGTGTTACTAAGGCTTCTTTGGGATTTTGTGACATATTTGAATAGAAACTGCCTTTAGGGGCACTTCCATAAACTTCAAATATGTAGGGTGATATGTAGGGTACCAA